CCATAAATGTTGTCCATTGTCGAGTTTCTTGGATCATCACCACTGTCCTTAAAAAAGTCCTCCTGAAAAAAGTTGGGACATTTTTATTTTCCTTTCGTTCACACAGGGCGGTCAGAGGTTGTGTTTTACAGCAAGAAGGTCCTGGGTTTGAATCCACCTCCGGGCCATTCTGTGAGGAGTTTGTATGTTATCCCCTGCGTATGTTTCCTCCAGGTGCTCCGGTTTCCTCGACCACTAAAATATGCACAATAGAATATGACTGTAATGAGTGGATGGATGGATGGTGTTGATAGGGTGCTTTGATGCACCAGCCAGCCACCATCATGTGGAGAGAATGGAACATCTGAATTCTGAGCGGTGTAAAGTGCTTTGGGTGAACTTGGTCAGTAAAAATGCGCTATATAAATAAACATTACTTACTTACTTACATTGGTCAATAAGGAGCGGGATGACCAATGTCCATAAATGTCCTTAAATCTCCTGGATCATCACCGTCCCTCCTGCATCTGCAAGGAACGACTCAAAAACCCAGTGGGAACAAGTGAGAAACCTTGGGAAGAACCACATTAAGAGAGAAGTCCGCTCCCATGGACGGACAAACTGTAGATCCAGGACTCAGGCTGAGAGCTGATTGGCTGAGTGAGGGTGGTCACTGTGAAAAAGCTAATACATGTATGAGAAAACAGCCAGGCTCCAGTTACACAGATATAATTGCATTGTTTGAAAGCTACATACCCCAGCTTTAATACATGAAACACTGTGAAATCTTAATCCAAAGCACCTTTTTTACGTCAGCGGTACAGAAATACACTCATTCATATACGTTTTGGCAGTAGATCCTCATCCTTAACTGCGCCAAGTCCCATTTTACCATAAACTCCCCTCGCTGCCTCTCACGTATTCTAATAAAATATATATATATATAAAAAATGATTCCAGTGGCGTCAGAGGCTTTAGCTCCATGTGGGAATAAACAGAATGTGCCGCCATGTTTAAGTTCGCACTGACACCCACGTGCACGCCCCTCGCTGCAGGAGATTTTCCCCGTCTGGAGATTATTGCTTTATGAAACAGAGAGTTAATGAAGCTTGCTATAGGAAACAGCACAGCAGCAGAATGAAGCAGCCGAGAGTGTGCAGCGGATACACCGTTGTAAACAAGTGTGACCTGGAAATACTTGAAGGGGAAAGAGGTGTATCTATAGTAAGGCTGATTAGAATGTGTGTGTTATTTTTGCATGTGTTATTGTATAATTGTGTGACTGGGTGTGTATATATTTGCATGATGAGGTGTAGGGAAAGCTCCTATGGCTTCAAAACAACTCGAATGTGGAATAAATCTGCAGCGTTTCTGGATGTTTGTTGAATTTTTAATGCAGGAGTTTTTTGCTATTTTATTATTGAGTTTTATTTAACCGGAAAAGTACTGCTGAGATTTCAGATTCTCTTTTTAAGATTGAGAAATTCTTTATTTGTCCCACAGTGGGGAAATTCTAGCCTGGCCTTAGCCATCCGTACACTCCGCTCAATTATCATTTCCCTGCATGTAACGTCTGGGTCTGGTCCCTGTGTTAGTGATTACAATCGGTTGAATTCCATCCGACCAATCAGCGATCGCGGAAGGCAGGTATTGTAGTTAGCTGTGGATGACGTCCAGATTTTGCGTTGAACGGGCAGGTTGTAGTTTGGCAATGGCGAAAAATTCGATAGTAAAGTAATCCGGTCTGTAACAACAATAGTCTCTATACTAAAATAAAGTTTTAAAAAAAACCTCTGACTTTCACATAATTTTAGGGAATCCTGGGCCCAACTAAAATCTTGATTTACATGTGTTTTACTATTGTATAATGTATAAGATAAACAAGTGACCTAAGATCTAAATAATTAAGAGAATCCAAAAATTCATTATGGCCAAAGAAAAAGCCCCACTAAACTACTACTAGAAAATTTCTTTAGTGGTAGGGGAGACCGGAGCACCGGAGAAGACTACGAAGACACTGGGAGAACATGCAAACTCCACACAGAAAGCCCAGGCTGGAGGTGGAATCAAACAAAGTGCTAACCACCGCCCCACGGTTGGGGGTAGTGAGGTTTTAACTGGTTAGACTTGAGTATTCCAGAGGTTTTCTATTGTTACAGCTGTGTGTACATGTTGGGGTTTACAAATTGCACTTTGGTTCTGTTTTTTTATTTTATTTATAATTTTAAACCATAGGAAAAAGGTGTACCAAAATACAGTCAATGCACATCAAAAGAAATACATAAAGTACATAAAATACACTAAAAATACAACATACACATTTCACTCAAAACCTACAAACTTAAAACTAGGGCTGTGCCAAGAATCCAAATATAATTATAAAAAATGCGAACTCAACTTTGAGCCTTTAAATCTCTGGACCCCAATCGTGAAGAGGAGGACATGTTGTTCTTCATCCAAACTCAGTTCTTTGGACTGAGCCAGGGACAGACAGCACTCTGTTAAGTGTGAGTCTCCTGCCTGTGCTCAAGTATCTCCCGTATCTCCAGTGTTAATGGGAAAAAAGAAAATTGGATTGAATCGAGAATGATCAATATACCCCACTATTACTTTTGTGCATTTTACTTTTTGGTAACAGCATTTTTTGGACTGTAAGAAGAGACATATAGCATGAGATGTCCTCGGTGCTACCTGATAACCTTATTATGAATACATCCAGATACAGTATAATATAAGTTTATGTGCATTTCTATGGTATTAGTCCAATACCCTTGATCACTTTTTGAATCTATACTTGAAGCTTGGAACTGAAATGTACCACTTTGGCATAAAACTGCATTTCAACTATTTGGTAAAGGCCCATAATAATTCGATTCTATTTCAACAAAATTGGCGTAAAAAAACCCCCCATAAAACCACTTCATCAATGTTATTAGTGCTCTTACATCTTAGAAAATCCCAAAAAGTGAACAATTCAATTCTTATTAATCGTGACAATTTTGGAAGAAAGCAATTGTCAAATGTAACGTCAATCATTTGTAAATCTGAATGTAGAGCGCTTTTTGTTTCGCCGTTATCTCCCATCCAATTAGATTTTTGAAATGTATCGCCACATATTATTTCATGAACCAAGGCTGAGATGAAAGTGATCAAAGCTTTTCGCTGCTGTTTAGTCAAGATATTATGGAGAAAATGACAGAAGAGCTCTGCGACAATGTGACAGTAGATTTTAGCATCAGCATCTGCCTTGTCGCCACTAGATAAGTTTGCTTCGACCTTCTGTCACATTTATGAACATTGTCATTCCATATTATTACATTTCTGTGATGAAACTTTTCTAATCTTTGCAAATCGACAACTTTGAAATGTCCTCCAAGACGGCTGCTGTCGTGATTTTTAATTGTTGCTTCTTTTGTCAAGACCGCCTCAGTTTTAACATATTTTCCAAAAGAAAAGATCTATAATTTCACATCCTACATTGTACAGCATGTGCGATACTGCAGTTACAAATTTAGTTTTTTAAATGGTGGAAATAGGGATGTGGGTTGGAAAGAATTCACACAAGGCCAGTGGAGGTGAAAGATCCTTATTTAAATGCAAATATCTGACAAACAAGTACAGTGCTCCCATAAAGCCGGGAAAAGAGGTTCTTTACACTTCTTTAAGTGTAAAGAAGCAGACAAGGGCAGAGCAGGTATTTAAACATATACCGTATATATCTGCTCATTATAACTTTATTTTATAAAGCCATGGTTTTTTTTCAATGTACTTTCCCTCCTGTAATAATAAACTGCAGGGTTAACACACGTGGTACTTTACTGCCCTCTTCTGGACAAGTGTATATTGTGTAGGGAAAAACAAAAACATTTCAAGAGTTTACAAATGCATGATGTTTTCCCCTTGTTTTATGAAGTTTTCTTTGGGGGGAATATCTAACGTTTGTCAAATTGATATGAAAATGGTTGAGTAATGTATCGCAAGTAAAACTGAATGGTATGTGCTTGCACGAATGGCCTCAGCACATACTAAATGCAGATGTAGCTATATTTTGATCGACAAAGGAAATGTATAAATCTGTGAAACCTGAATTTTTTGTTTTTTGTAAAAGTCAAATGTGAAGAAATCAGACCACAACTGTATTTTATTTGTGTGCATCTATGTTTGTAATGTCTGGAAAGATATTTGTGACAGTTATGTCTGTTTTTTTTCATTGTGCTATAATATACATTAGATAAACTTGACTTTGACCTTATTAGAAAACAAGTTGGCTGCACGGTTTTCTCTTTTAATGTTTCTGTCTGAAAGAGCTGATCAAAAGATTAGAGAGCGAGGAACTAGTTTGACGGATTTGATCACATAGTTACATTTGTTGTGGTTTGAAAGTTAGGTACCCCTGCTTTAAATTAAGACACACAAGTTCTCACCTGAGAGCATTGGCCTTAAGGCCAGAAGGTGGTGGGTTCAATTCCCACCTCTGCACCTTCTCCACCGACTCCCACTGATGACTGCTGTCGTTGTGTCCTTGGGCAAGACACTTAACCCCACTTTGCCCAAAGCCCCCACTGAAAGATCAAGGCTATGCTCACACTCAGAGCAGCCGTCCTCCTGTGGACTCACCACCTGCAGAGGGTCAGTGAGGGGCTGGTGCTATGAGACTTGGGTGGCATCTCTGATTGCCACCCCCCTGACCCAGAAATGGATTAAAGGGTAGGAAATGGATGGATGGATGGAAGTTCTCACCTGGACTGGAATGACAAAACATTTGATCTATTCTTGAAATGGTGATCTAGCTGCTTCTTCTGTTGGAAAACCAGTCAAAATATTTTCAAATCGATTTTGTTGCTTGAGATAAACTAAAGAGATAAGTAAATAAATGAATACAATGAATAAATAGATAAATAAATATCAAATGAGCCTAATTCCAGCATTATTTTTTTGTAATGAAGCTATTTTAAGACATCTGTAAGGGCTGTTTGTTCAAATGTGTTGTCTGACCTCTTGTGTGTGTCTTTATCGGTCAGGTGCCCAGTTACACTCTGGCAGTGCGAGCTCTGGACAGCGGAGCCCCTCCCCTGTCGTCCACGGTAACAGTGACCATCGACATCTCGGACATCAACGACAACGCTCCCGCTTTCTCTCCGGCCAACGTGACCGCAGTCATCCAGGTAACAAGCACAAACACACACTGGGATGGGATATGGGAAACATTTACACATTTATGCTCCATGCCTTTTCATGTTACTGCTTTGTAACATCTATATCTATATGATTCACATTTGGGCATAAACAATTGAAATTTATTAATAAACATATGACATTTTTTGTTTACTTTCTGTATCACTTACATCAGTGTCTCCCAAAGTGGGGTTCGCGGCCTCCTGGTGGGCGGCGAGGGTATTGCAGGGGGGCCGCGAGAGGTCATCAAAAAAAACATATATATATATAATTGTGTTCAATATTTGACTTGAAATATCAAATTGTAATCATTTTTTTATTACAAAATGGGGTGCGTCATTTACATGTTTGTAGCAGAGGCTATTTCCCCCAAATAAAATAATGAGAAAAGCCTATTTTTAACGTTGTCTTTTTGGTTATTATCTCATGGGGCTAAGCAGACCCGTCAGATTATTAAGGGGGCTGACTTTGGGAATGGCTGACTTACATTATAATTGATGTGTGAAGACAAAATGTTCTCTCATACTTTGTAAAATTCAAATATGCCCAACAAACACATTGAGTTGTTAAAAAAAAAAAAAAATACACATTAAGAATTCTATACATCGGGAGGTGTCCCGGGAGGTTTTCACTGTGGACATACCGACAAAGCATCGGGCCAATCAAGCACCAGGCATGACTCACAACCACATCTAAGTGCACAAAACAGATTGATAAGAGCCACTAGATGTGTATTTATGCATAAAACCTCAAAATAAGGGATGGACTGTGGAAACCAGCAGTAAAAAGTAAAGAAAAAAAAGCCACTTAAATTCAAAGGGCCAAGAAAGATTGTTATTTGGCTCACGGCCTAAGTTTAGACGTTAATTGAAAATGAGGTATATACTTACTTACTTACGAGTGATTGTAACCCTGGTGTCCCTCAGGAGAACAAGCCCATCGGCACCTCCATCATCCAGCTGTCTGTGGTGGACCTGGACTCCTCCCACAACGGCCCGCCCTTCGACTTCCACATCCTGTCCGGGAATGAAGGCGGCGAGTTCGTCCTGGAGCGAGACGGGACGCTGACAGCCAATCAGGTGTTCCGAAGAGACCTGGCCACGGATTACCTGCTGCAGATCAAGGTACATGGACCAATTTGTTCACCAGAAATGTTTAACCTTTTTTTTTCACTTTACCTGATGTTGTGGAGGCAAATGTAAACTATAATATATATATAAATGTAAAAGTTCAAAGCTAAACCATTATTCTGGGACTATACAGGTACCAATCATATTCATTTATTGGCCATTCTGTAATATTCTCTGGACTAATATGGTTTGGATAGATAGATAGATACTTTGTTGATCCACGTGTCCAGTAGCAGCAACAACACAGTAGTAATAATAATAAGCAACAGCACTTCAGGTCACAGCAGCAGAAATGGAGTATCTGCGTGGTTACATACAAAGATGATTAAACCAGGAAACCAGGACCAAACGTGTCAGAAGTTGAATTTATATACATTTTTTGTAATTGCATTTCTTCATTTACGTGCGTCAAACATATATATACAGACAAAATGTGAATTCATATGAAACCTAAGCACATGTTTGATAAGGAATGGGTGAAAGTAAAAACTTATTGAGTCCCACCCCTTTATATATTTATAAAGGACATTTATATTTGATGTGACAAGTTGTGGGGAGGTTCAGGTTTACTTTATTAGTTTAATAGATACACCCTTATTACGTCCATATTTTAACTTATCTTTCTGCAGCAATCTGGAATATGAACGTATGTACAGTATGTGAATGTATATGAACGTTTACCTGAAAATACAGATTGCCGATGACATTAGTCAAGTGTAATCTCCGTCCAATACTACTTTTACCACACAGTTTTATACAAAGCAACAGCAGTGCTTTTATAGATATGTTTCTTTGTGCTTCGAAAAATGTTATTTACATTATAACAATAGGCCCACTGTAGGATTTTAGTTTGTAAGTTCTTGATTTTAGGATCTGGGGTGTCACAAGCAGTTGCCTGTGCTGGATAAAGGATACAAGGAAAACCAAATAACTTTTTTGACAGTTAAACACAATTCCCCCTCGAGCTAAATGTGCAAATGCAAGGATTCAGTGCAATGCAGGCGATTATGAACTGAGGTAAATGTCGTAAAAGTTTTTGCAGTATCAATCTGCACCTATAAAACAGGAGGGATGAGGTTCAGGTTTTGTTTATTTGCACCTGTTTGTAGATTTGTCTTGCAGTGAGAATACTTAAGATCCTATTCAGTACAATACAGTCACTCAAAAACAAATATATACTCCAATAAAAGTTCTGTAATTTTTCTGACTAAGGCTTTTATGCCGAAACGCGTAAGAATATTGTTGCCAGATGAAAAGTGTGAGTCACAACTTTTTGAACTTTCGTTTCCTTTCCTTTTTATTCATATGCTACCTACTCACCTGTTTTTAACAATAAAAGTCCATAGTATAAAGTGCTCAAAATATGAACATTTGTAAGAGAGAGAGAGACTGCCTTCACAGTCACAGATATGACCAAAAGGGAACAAAAGTAAAAGTAAATGAACACAGGATTAAGATTACAAGATTCTTTGTTCATTCCACAGTGCAGTTCCACTTTTGTGTTGATAAATCAATATTTAGTAAAGAACAACTATGCTTGAATCAATATAATACATACTGTATCTATCTATTTACTTAATAAAGAAGCAAAGTACTTACAGTATCATATATACAACCAAATAATATATGTGATAGATAAATTCATTGGGGCCACCAAACTTGCATGTTTTCCCAAAGAAAAAAAATTGAGAGATGCCTGTAATTTCCATCATAGGTACTGTATATCTCAACTATAACAGACAAAATTAAAGAAAAATAAAATTTGTGAGATCATTCTCTTGGTTTTTTTTTTCGTATTTTGTTTCTGAAAGTTGAGGTATACCAACAGTATGATGAAAATTACACACATCTCTCATCTTGTTAGGTGAAAGGACAATTGTTGGCTAACTAAACTAAATACTTATTTGCCTCACTGTATTTGTGTTTGTTGCAGGTGTCTGACTCAGGGAAGCCTGGCCTGTCATCCACGTCTCCTCTGCGAGTTCGTGTGATCGAGGAGAGCCTGCACCGACCCGTGGCGCTGCCTCTGGAGGTCCACATCGTCACCATGGAGGACGAGTTTCCCGGAGGCGTCATCGGGCAGCTCCACGCCACAGACGCCGACCCGTACGACGCGCTCACGTTTGGCCACGCACCACCGGCTCAGCGCAGCCTGTTCAAGATCAGCCCTCGTGACGGAAAGATCATCGCTCTGGGCGGGCTGGACGCGGGCCGCTACGCGCTCAACGCCAGTGTGAGCGACGGGCGCTTCGCCGTGCCCGTGCCTGTGAGCGTGCACGTGGAGCAGGCCACACCCGACATGCTGCGCGAGGCCGTCACCGTGAGGTTCGAGAGCGTGCAGCCGCGAGACTTTGTGGCCTCGTATCTGAAGAGTGTCTTAAAGGTGAGGAGGAACATAGTGGTATTAATTGTATTCGATCTGACACCGAAACCACTTTATTGCGCCACATCACTGAAGATCTGTTTTCGGCAAATCACGTTCACAGCTCCTCTCTAAAATTGGTTCATCCTTACTGTACAGGACATATTGTCAATAAAGCTCAGCAGTTCAGTGCAAAATAATACAAAACTGTACTCTGTCTCCAGCTCCTGCAGAAAGCGGCGGCGTCTCAGCTGCGGGACATTGTGCACGTGCTCAGTCTGCAGCCTGTGGGCGGGACCCCTCAGCTGGACATGTTGCTGGCCGTGGAGACCGGGGCGGGGGGCTTCTATAAGGCCGCCTTCCTCACGCAGAAGCTGAGCGCCTCCCGCAGACGGCTGGAGGAGGTGCTCCGTGTGTCGGCCATCTTGGATAAGAACTGCTCTGGTCTGGACTGTCGCGGGGCGCAGTGTGAGCAGAGCATCACGCTGGACTCTCACAACCTGGCAACGTACAGCACCCCACGGGTCAGCTTTGTGTCGCCCAGGTTCCACCGGACGTCCCGCTGCACATGCACTGGTAACAGACGCAAAAGAATACAGTTCATTAAAGAAGACTTCTGCTAATATGGAGACTTAATTCTTGACAAACTTTTAGCTTTTTTATTGAATTTTATTTGACACCATTTTTGTCCCTCACAAGATGATGTGTTTCTGTTTATGTTTAGATGCAAGCTGTGCTGTTTTATCGGAGCAGTGCGAGGAGCAGAACTGTCCAGCCGACATGCAGTGCATCTCTATAGAGGCCACCAGAGGGCGCTACGCTTGCCAATGTCCACCAGGGAAACTGGGAGAGTGTTCAGGTGTGTGACAAGAAACAGAACACATAATCAAACTGCAAAGCATGATTTATACCATAATGTATGACTTGATTCCACAGGTCAATCATCTTTGAGTTTCTCGGGCAACAGTTACATCAAATACAAAGTGACGGACCGGATGCAGACGGAGCTGAAGCTGAGTCTGAGGATCAGGACTCTGCAGAACAAAGGCATCATCATGTACACGCACACCGAGCCCTGCACCGTGCTCAAGGTACTTCACGTGTGGAATGTACTGTCTGTAATATACCTTCACTTTGAGTAGAACAGCTTGTAGCGGCCAAAACTTGCCCTGTGCAAGGTCCGCTGGATGCAGTGTGTTGGCGTCTAGGACGCGTGTCTCTCACCATCCAAATAGAGCAAAATACTGTGTTCTACAATCCTTTATTGTTGCCAAGTACACAAATATAAAGCTGTGGTAACAAACAACGGTCGAAAGATGTTTGCCTCCACACTACAACACCTGTCTGTCATTAGTGCCCCACTTATATAGGGCATACTATCTAGGTGGCGCCACACAGTGGCAGGAGGCAGCAAAGGAAAACACAGGAAACTGGCTCCAACACACCGGCCCCTTAATTGTGAAAGCCAGGAGCTAAACAATTACAAATTCAAAATAAACATGGAGCCATACTTTAACTTAGCAAGTTTGTCACATTGGGAACATATTTTTCAAAAAACACAAAATTTCAATGTCCACATATTCAAAGTCATTGTTCAATACACAGAAAATACATTTGGCATTTAATATCCATCCTGTTATGTTTCATTATTCAAAACTATTTCCAGCGCTTTCTTTTGAAAGCTTTGCGCAACTTTAGCTTAAACATTTTGCTGGCTGAAAGCACATACAGAATCCAAAGACAGTTCACGAGAACAACAAAATCAAAATGAGTGTTTCTTACAAAAGCATTGTTGTGCTTGCTTTTACTACGCCACTGTGGCAGTGGAAAAATCCTGGTGTGGCCTGGTGTGACCATGTCTGGGCCACTGCAGGCCAGCTTCTGCTGCAGCAGGCCTCCCACTACAGGCTGCAAGGCAGTCAATAAGACAGGAACAGCAGAAGTTCCCTGCTCTTCATCCTCTGTACTGTCCATCTTTTTCCACGAGCATGTCTCAGTGTCCAAATCCAATGTCACCGTTCGCTCATGGTCCATAAGGGAAATCTCAAAGTCCTCCCGACGGTCTGGTGAAGATGAACAGTTCACATCAGCCATTTGTGTGGCACTATTGGCCCCTGTTGGCTCAAGCGCATCCACCAAAGTGGGAATGTAAACTGGTGGCTCCCAGTCAAATCCATCCCAGTCATCAGCGGTCCCAGTTGGCTCAAGTGAACCCACCAAAGTGGGTACATAAACTGGTGGCTCCCAGTTAAATCCATCCCAGTCATCATCAGTCCTAGTTTCTTTTATAACTGCAGGGACAGTTGTGGTTGGGGGACTTGTGTTTGCACCCTAGGCTCTATTGGAAGAGATTTATTTTTATGCCGATGCTTCTTTGAGGCATTCAACACTGCAAGTTTAGCTGTCACTTCAGTCATTTTAGTTTCAAATTCCAGCTCTTCCAATTGTCTCTTAATGGCTAGTTGCTTTGCTTCCAGTTCATATTTCTCTTCCAAAAATGACATTTTAACTAGAAGCGCAGCTTGCTTAGCTTTTATTTTAACCAAAGCTGCAGCAGCTGAAGCTCTCTCTTTTTTGTCAGTTTTGTTCAAATCCCTGGTGCACATTTTTTACAGTATTCCTTTTTACAGTGTCCACCTCACAGTCCATGTACCGCTCCTAAACGTGTAGTCTGTGCGGAATTATGTCGCACACAGAAATCAGAACTGCTCACCACGCGTAGCCTTCTCCAAACGCGGTGCCGAGCTCCTCCGCGGTCCACTCCTCTGCGGTCCGATCCGTGCTGCAGGACAGGACAGTTTGCGCGCCGAGTCTTCCCTCGCCCGCGCTGGTGGTGGGGGACGCCGGTGCTCTCTCCGGTGTTTTTGCCCTTTCCTCCTTCCCGCCGACAGTCCGCCGGTTCGCCGCGCCCCTGTGGCAACGAGTCACCGCCACGGTAGGCGTGGGTCCACTCCTCTCCAGGAAACCGCGCTGTGCCAATCACAGCTGACGCAATCTTCACGCCCAGACGGTACCTGAGGCTATCTTTCGACAATGTAGCGGCCAAAACTTGCCCTGTGCAAGGTCCGCTGGATGCAGTGTGTTGGCGTCTAGGACGCGTGTCTCTCACCATCCAAATAGAGCAAAATACTGTGTTCTACAATCCTTTATTGTTGCCAAGTACACAAATATAAAGCTGTGGTAACAAACAACGGTCGAAAGATGTTTGCCTCCACACTACAACACCTGTCTGTCATTAGTGCCCCACTTATATAGGGCATACTATCTAGGTGGCGCCACACAGTGGCAGGAGGCAGCAAAGGAAAACACAGGAAACTGGCTCCAACACAGCTTATATCATTGAATTGAGTCCTTCTTTGAACCGACATTTAGTTATGACTTGGTTACACAACCACAATGACGGCATCATATTCGAGTCAAGAAGATGGACTGAACAGCTGTTTAAAAACCAGGGAAGTCACTATTTTAAATCCCCATCTCAGTTAGCTAAAAGATAGATGCCACATTTATCTCTGATTGAATTATTATGAGCTGGCTTTCTTCTCCATAAACATGACTCATACGTGGCCTAGAGTATAGGATTCTGCCCCCTGATTTTTACCATGGAGAATTCTTTCAACTTCCTATTATCTTCCTATATTATCCTATTATTACAAAATGGCATTATATGTGCAGTATACTCATTGACAATGTTCCCTTATGTATGCTTAAAAATTCCTATTTCTCTAGTGCAGCCATATCCAGAAATGTAGCCACAATAATAATTTCAGCCTAAGCTACAAACCATTTACTGTATATTGCTGTTCATAAATCCAATCTATGACAAAATATTAAAGGTTGGTCCAATATTTATATCTGGAATTCAGTCTCATACACTTGAAACCTTGTCTTTGCAGCTGGATGAGGGGAAGCTGTGGTTCCAGTTGGCCTGTGCCTCCGGATCAGGGGACCCACCGGACTTGTTGGGGATCTCCGGACGTCCCATTAATGACGGCAGCTGGCACACGGTGGCGTTAGAGCTCAGTCGAAACGTCAGCAGCCTGGCCATAGATGACAGTTACGTGGAGCAGCGACGTGGGCCTCTCTACGCCCCCCTCGGACCGGACAAGACCATCTACTTTGGGGCGCTGGTAAACTTGCTTCTTCTTGTTTCTTGCTTCTTTATTATGCTAAAGTTATAGATTTTATACTTGCGTCTTTATTATGTATAAAGTAGGGCTGTCAAAATTATCGCGTTAACGCAAGTTAATTAATTTGTTTCATTAATCGCGTTAAAAAAATTAACGCATTTGACGCATGCCGCATGACAGAGCAGGTAGACCCTCTGGGAATTCAAGTTTTGAAAGAATACACGCGTGACCGCGGGGCACTTGACGTTTCCTGTATGAGCTCTGCATGATGAGCTGCGGGCGCGACAGCGCTCTGGACAGCAGGTCCCACTTCCAGCGGCTGTGATCACGGCGAGCGGCGCTGCGTAATGGGATCATATCCAAGAACACGCACAGAACTATTACAGAACTATTCTCTAGTGTGCGTACATGTCTTTGCGTAACCGATGCACACAATATGTACAGCGCTGAAGCTGGACTGCGGAGCCTCAGTCTCCTCCTTCTCCCGAAGCGCACTCGCTAAATTAAAGCTGAGGTACCTAATTTTCCTTTCGACTACCAGTTCATGTTAGTTGTGCCAAAAAAAGCAATGGTGTGAGCAAATCAAACAGATTTAATTACATTCTGCATTTCAGACTATTTTGAAATGTCCCTCATCTGTAACAAACAATAGTTTTGTTCTGAGTCTAAACAGAAAGACAGAATGTTAATAATGTTAATGCCATTTTATATGGATTTATTGTTATAACAAACAAATACAGTACATATGTTCACTAAGCTGTCATTTATCTTTCCATTCAAACAACAATTTACAGAAAAATATGGCATAATTTTGCCAATAGTTTGAAATGTGATTAATTACGATTAATTCCATCCATCCATCCATCCATTTTCTTCCGCTTTATCCGTTGTCGGGTCGCGGGGGCAGCAGTCTAAGCAGAGACGCCCAGACTTCCCTATCCACACACACTTCCTCCAGCTCGTCCGGGGGGACCCCAAGGCGTTCCCAGGCCAGCTGAGAGACATAGTCCCTCCAGCGTGTCCTAGGTCTTCCGCGGGGCCGCCTCCCGGTGGGACGTGCCCGGAACACCTCCCCAGGGAGGCGTCCAGGAGGCATCCGGAACAGATGCGCGAGCCACCTCAACTGGTTCCTCTCGACGTGGAGAAGCAGTGGCTCTACTCCGAGCTCCTCCCGTGTGACTGAGCTCCTCACCCTATCTCTAAGGGAGCGCCCAGCCACTCTGCGGAGGAAGCTCATTTCGACCGCTTGTATCCGCGATCTCGTTCTTTCGGTCATTACCCAAAGCTCATGACCATAGGTGAGGGAGGGAACGAAGATTGACCGGTAAATCGAGAGCTTTGCCTTTCGGCTCAGCTCCCTCTTTACCACAACGGTCCGATACAGCGACCGCATCACTGCGCACGCTGCACCGATCCGCCTGTCAATCTCACGCTCCATTCTTCCCTCACTCGTGAACAAGACCCCGAGATACTTGAACTCCTCCACTTGAGGAAGGACCTCTCCACCCACCTGAAGAGGGCAAGGCACCTTTTTCCGGTCGAGCACCATGGCCTCGGATCTGGAGGTGCTGATTCTCATCCCAGCCGCTTCACACTCGGCTGCAAACCGCCCCAGTGCATGTTGCAGGTCCTGGTTCGTTGGAGCCAACAGGACAACATCGTCCGCAAACAGCAGAGATGAAATCCTGTGGTCTCCGAACCGGACCCCCTCCGACCCCTGGCTGCGCCTAGATATTCTGTCCATAAATACAGTGAACAGAACCGGTGACAAAGGGCAGCCCTGTCGGAGGCCAACATTCACCGGGAACAGGTCTGACTTACTGCCGGCAATGCGAACACAGCTCTGGCTCCGGTCATACAGGGATCGAATGGCCCTCAGCAGAGGACCCCCGACCCCGTACTCCCGGAGAACCCCCCAAAGGACACGGTTGAACGCCTTCTCCAAATCCACAAAACACATGTGGACAGGTTGGGCGAACTCCCATGAACCCTCGAGTATCCGATGGAGAGTATAGAGCTGGTCCAGTGTTCCGCGACCGGGACGAAAACCACACTGTTTACTAATTACGATTAATTAAAGGAGCAATATGTAATATTTGCATGTCAAGTCATCATTAAATGACCCGAATATTTCAAAAGGCGTTATTAAATCATACTCTTTTCGAATTCATCTTTAACTGATAACAGTAGTTCAGCCGAGATATTTGATTATCAAAATTAGTTTTACGACCCGTAAAAGTTGTTATTGTTTTGATTTTGATGTCCTACCCTCCGCCGTTTCGCCAATCAGGAAGTGTCATGTAAGTCCGTGATCGGGTTGCCAGAACTCCGCGCGGCTCATTAATCTCAGAGGTAAAATAACATGTGGCGCAGAATTAAAAAAGGTCTTGTTATGACTCTCAAATCATTAATGACAAAACAAAGACTAAAACGAGGATTTATATCGGGATGCCTTTGAACAATTGAGACAGCTGATAAAGGTTCACGTGTGATGCAGAATTTTCTAGTTTGATTGCGTTCTTCACAGTTCTTCGTGTGAACCGGTGGCCTAGTGGTCTAAGCTGTGCGCTTACGATGCAGGAACCCGGGTTCGATTCCGGGCTATGTCTTTTTGTATTTATTGCATGTTATCACATTCTATGACAGATTGCTCTAAAAACGGTAAAAGACGAAGGTCAAGACGTTTTTTTGCAGATTATAGCTTAATTGTAAAAATAATCATTTAAGACCACATGTACCCCAATTAAAATAATGTTAGTCTCTTTTTGATGTGGGACTTTTACATGTTTGTCTAAAAAATAGGGAATAAATAAAATTGAAAGGTGATATCCTCTTGAGCAAACCCTGATGTTGATACACTGAAGAAATACGTTCCAACATCCATTCTTCCCACTCCTATTTTGGACATCAATTGCTTATTTATTTTGCATAAACTATGTATAATTACATTGCTTTTATTTTGTTTTTGTTTTTTTATCTCAAATGTCCAAATAATAATAATAAAAAAACATTAATCAAAACATTCATTCAGCATTAGCACGGCTGTCATGGCAATGTGAATGGAGACGGACAAACAACTGATAAAATAATTCCCTGTGTTTGCTGCTGGATTTGGTGTGAATCTGGCAACCTGAGTCAGGGAGAGTGGGAGAGGACTACAAAATATTGACTGTGACTGCAGTACCACTTTTGGCCAGATTTTTACATATTGCTCCTTTAATTTTTAAACTGTAATTAACTCAATTAAAAAAATTAATCGTTTGACAGCCCTAGTATAAAGTTAGAGATGTTGTTATTGTTCACTCATCTTGAGCTGTGTTAGTTGTTGAATTTGAAATATGTTTTGAAAATACTTAAAAGCTATAAAAGCAATAGCTATGCTGCAGTCTTAACATGTTTAATGCTTTGGTAAAAAAAAAAAAAAGATTAATTGACTTCCATATACTGAGCTTGGTCCTACCATACCATTGTACTCATTTCGTGCATAGGGTTAGGAAAATAATAATTGAAATAATTGAAATAATTGAAATAATTTTATGGATGGCTGAGGCCAGGCTACCAGATACTATTTCAAAACTATTTCAATAATCAATTAGTTGCAAAACTTGCTATCAATAAATTCACTTTCCTCAGCCTTGTGGATCTAATTGTTTTATGAATCTAACTCCACTCGCTTCTGTCCCTCAGGTGCAGCACCCGTCGTCCCGGGGCCTGGTGGTCTCCCAGAAGGACCCCCGGGTGCTGGAGGGGTTTCAGGGCTGCCTGGACTCTGTGATGCTCAACAACAACGAGCTCCCGCTGCAGAACAAGCGCTCACGATACGCCGAGGTGGTGGGTCTGACCGAACTCAAGCTGGGCTGCGTCCTGTACCCGGACCCCTGTGGGAACCAACCCTGTCGCAACGGAGGGAGCTGCACCACGCTGCCTTCTGGAGGTGGGACACGGCACTGCACCATCACCAACTAGGACTGGATTTATATACATGCTTTTATCTGAACACTACTCAAATGGATATATACTAAATACAATTTATAACCTGAAGCAGGGTCAAACAAAGCATTGTTATAGCATTACAAAGCAAACTACATCTCGTTGTTTTTACAATTTTCAACACCTAAAAACTGTAAGCAAAGAAAAACATATCACTTTCTACAAATCAGGAGTCCTCTAATTGGAACTGCCTTTAGAGCTTCATCTAATGACCACAGGGGGAATAATCCAACCTTTGTTTTTTCCCAGATATACTTATGTTAAGCAGTGATAATGCATCTAACTACGTAAAAAAAACAGGGCAGCAGATTTTCCTCCAGTCTGCTGTTGTGTGAGGATCAGGGGAAAAAGTGAATAACATTGTTTTTCCTTGTGGACAGGTTTCTCTTGTACCTGCAGCCCTCAGTACACCGGGGGGCGCTGTGAGCTTGAGATCACGGCCTGTGTTCCAAACCCCTGTCAGAACGGAGGCGTGTGTAAAACCATCGGCAACGCTTTCCTCTGCAGCTGCCGGAGAGGCTTCAAGGGCCTCACGTGAGTTTAATACAAACACATTCAAAAAATGACTCAATCATAAATTATGTTTCAAAATCATAAAATTGCAATTTAAGGAAAATATATTTTTAAAAACGACTGTTTTTTTTCAAATTAGAATTGAAAATATTTGATTTTTTGTGTCTGAGATATGTATCATGAGGTATAACCAATGGACACTTTCAGATCCCAAATCCTTCTGAAAAACGCATGTACTGTGTTATTATTTTATTTTCTACTTATATGAATAATTTGAATATTTGTTATGTATTAATTTTTCATATTATTTCATGGAATTTTAAGTCTATTTTAAAATTGACACTAGTTATTTCAGTTCTGGACCTGGGTGTGTGAATATTTTAGGTTTTGTTTGAGTTTGCACTTTTGGAGGAAAACAAATAGGTCGGATAAAGAATGATAATAATTTGAAAAGTATACTTTCTCTATTTTGTCCATCCATCCATCCATTTTCTTCCCTTTAATCCATTACTGGGTCAGGGGGGTGGCAGTCAGAGATGCCACCCAAGTCTCATAGCACCAGCCCCTCACTGACCCTCTGCAGGTGGTGAGTCCACAGGAGGACGGCTGCTCTCTGAGTGTGAGCATAGCCTTGATCTTTCAGTGGGGGCTTTCTCTATTTTGTCTTTTCCAAAATAACTCTACACCTGCAGTTCCAGTCTGTAACCACTGAGAGGCAGTGTTGATCTAATGCCTCCACATCTCTCTCTGCAGTATTCAGACAGTACATCTTTGTGCAGTACACTATAGATAACTAAAGGGTAAAGGCTGCGTGGAACTGGTCCATGTTTGATGTTGGATGTGGTCAGACGCAGGCTCAGGGTTTATTGGACTCATCTCTTATCGCAGCGCGGAAATGTTTGCCGATGTTCCGGAGAGATTGCTGCTGCTGCTGTGAGGGCTGGAGGCTGAGTCTGACCGGGCAAAACGCAGTGGTCCAATAAGAGCTCTGTATCCTGAATACTTTAGCGCTCATTTGCATAACATTATAGAGATTGTTGCGGACAACTTTGATTTTCAATTCAATAACATTTATTTTCCCAAACCCTAACCCTAAATCAGCAACAGTAGTTACAGTATCTCGGAGGACTTAAAAAACCTTTGAGTTGGTCAACACGGGTCAGAGAATCAAAAAGTGCAAACACAAGAAATGTAATGATAACAAAAAAACAAATCTACCAATGTCTATATGTAAGGGGCAGATGACCAATGTCCATAAAGTCCATAAATGTCATTGAATGTGGAGTGTCCTGGATCATCACCACTGCCCTTAGACCAGATCAGCATGGAAAAAAATCTAACAATTTTGCCCCCTTTTGTGGTCATTAGAAATGGATCAGACACATTGCATCCTCTTACTGTTATGCTAAAATGTGGGACCGGACAAAAGATGGGCGTAGTGTAGGTCAAGTTGTTTTAAGCAACAAGAGAGCGCAGGTTCAGATCTTTGCACCACAACCTTTTCGCTGTCTCCATGTGTGAGGTTGAAACTATTGGAGAATCTGCTTTCTCCTATTATGCTCCTTGTAAATAGAACACTGTACCCGATGATATTGAATGTGCTCCAACCCTGAGCTCATTCCAGAGTGAACTAAAGACCCCACTCCTTCACTGGCGTTTTATGCCATGCTAATAGTTTCTTGGTTCCTTGTAAAGCCGCAGATTACTGTCTGAAATGTCCTAAATAAGTTAAATGTCTTCAAATACCTTCATTTGTGGAGAATGAGTACATGTGAAACTCAGAAAATTGGAATACCATTTTTTCTGTTATGTAACTTAAAATCTGACCAACATGAAAGTGACAATACCAAACCTTTGTTGTCTTGTGGATCCATTTTGAGTGGGGTTTACAAGCTGTGAGACAATCATCAACATTTTGATAAATAAAGGCTTGATCCCTCTTTGCCTGTAATGAATCATACATTAGTTTCATAGTTTTTAGTTGAACTGCAGAAGTAAATGGACTTTTGAACGATATGTTAATTTCCCCCTGTACTCACTGTATTTTTGAAAGCACTAAAACCATTCATAATTCAAGAATTTGCATGTTTTCAACCAAACTGAGGTAAACATCAATATCCATCACACAAAGCAGGTATTGGAAAAGCAGGTCACCCCCAGCACAGTGGAGGGAAGCACTTTTAAATCATTCATAATACTAACATTTCATTATTTTTCTTTCATTTAAACGAGAGGTCGGGAACCTTTTGAGAGAGCCAAAAAATGTCTCATACTTTAAAATGTGTTTTACTGTGAATATGAGTAAGTAAGTGAATGTATGTGATTTGAAAACAAGATCAACACATTTGGAGCTTAAGATTTTTAATGATTTACAGTATAAATCCAATACACAAAACATTCTTACAAAATAATAATTACAGAGCCATAGGTTTCTGATCGCTTTGTACAGTATGTTTTCGTATGATGTTCATAGTCCAAACATAAAGGAAGCCAAATGAAAAATAACTAAGAGGACCAGGCGTATTTCTTTGACACATGGGAGCAATTTTCATATAAAAGTATTCCAACTATTTCACTGAGTGTGGCTCCCATTCTCAAAATGTTCTACACCATTTGTTGCTTTATTTTCTCATTCCAATGGAGACATTTCTTGTTTCTTTTATCAAACAAGATCATTTTGCTTTTTCCCATTGGCAAATCTTGTCAACAGTCAAGATGTGCACAAATTAGAATCAGAATCAGATGCCATTTGACAACAAATAATTCATAATATAACACAATACGAATAAAGAGGACTTACTTAAAATAACAAAAACCTTGAATAAATTGTAACATTTCTAAGGAAACTAAGTACAGTAGACATTTAGCAATTATTAAATTTGGCGGCAAGGTGGCTGAGTGGATAGTTCTCTCGTTTCTAAGCAAGAAGGTCCTGGGTTTTAATCACTGTCGGAACAGGGCCTTTCTGAGTGGAGTTTGCATGTTCTCCCTGTTTCCTCCGGGTGCTCCGGTTTCCCCTACCACTAAAAACATGCACAATAGGTATGAATGTAAATGAGAGAGTGAATGGATGGTGTTGATTGGGAGCTGATGGTCCAGTGTGTTCGGCGACTCCCTTCCGTCATCAACGCGTGTGGAATGATTGGAACAATATCTGAACTCTGAACATTGTAAAGGGTGACCTTGGTCTGTAAAATGCGCTATATAAATAAACATTACTTACTTACTTTCTTACTTATTATAGATGAAGATACATTTTGTCCAATGTGATTTTTTTTTCCCGTGGTGCAGGTGTCAGGAGGACGTGAACGAGTGCGACCGCAGTAACCCCGAGGGCGAGTGTGAGAACGGCGGCGTCTGCGTCAACACTCACGGTTCCTTCTACTGCAACTGCTCGTCGGGGTTCGTGGGCCAGCGCTGCTCCCTGCGGCCCGTGGTGGTGCCCGACATGCAGGCCGGCCACGCCATGGTCGGCAAGGAGGAGCTGATCGGCATTGCGGTGGTCCTCTTCGTCATCGTCACCCTCATCATCCTCTTCATCGCATTCCGGAAGAAGGTTTTCCAGAAGAACTACTCTAGGAACAACCTGTCGCTGGTGCAGGATCCGGCGACGGCTGCGCTCTTGAATAAGGGTGCGTTCAGCGGATTCTTTGTTTGTATCTCGTCTTTTTGTGTTTCAATCAGTGGGGGCGCGTCCCGGCTCTAAAATTTCCAAAATGACGTGTGCTGACATGCTTGCAATACCACCCCGGGCCGATGGGGGTGGACCAAGCCCCGGCGATCCAAGATGGCGCCCTATTCAAATGAATGGTTGTGCTCAGTGGCGCTTTGTGACGGCATGGGGGCTGAAAGATTAGCGGAAGTTGCCTGAAACTCGCAAAGATCTATGGGAAACTCACAAAGATCTATGGGAAACTGGCCTGTATTTGGGCATCGTCTGGTCCTCCCGGTTCTGCGCAGTGGATGATATCCCATAATGCGTTGCGCCAAACACGCGTGTGTGGGTCTCACACCGGGTCTCACGCACGTGCACAGAGGGGCTCGGCTGCGCTCTGACCAATCAGAGCAGTTCATCAGAGCGGGAGCTAGAGCGAGAGCCAGACGAGCAGAGTTTGTGGCACTAAAGTGTGGATTAAACAAAACCGAAAGATTTAAGAAGAAAAAAAGTTCAGGATGACAAGGGACACTAAAATCCCCACAAAATCCTATCTTTATTAAAGCTGTAGGTTCTCTGTCAGATGAGGTGGAGCTGTTTTAATATGCATTGAGTTCTATGGGGAAAATTTCTGGGTGGCCCACGTGAATTTAGTCTGGTTCAGTCTGCAGTACCGCGAGAATCCCCCGAGCACATGGGTTATTCAGCTACAAGCTAGTAATACCCTATCCAGTTATTATAATAGATCCATGGGGTGGACCCAGAATAAGAAATAGCCAATGCTAACATATAGCATCTTCTTACCTCTCAAAAACGGGTTTACATGATGGTCCAAAAGTTGGCTCTTGGTCCAAAGCTCCGTTCCACATGTGTGTCAATGCTGAGGGGGGTGATTTTTTTTTTGGACCAGTCTAGTTTACTCGCTGTGAATTTTGAAGGCACCTGTTAAATGAATGGGGCTCGTGCCGGTTGACGCATGTGCAAATGCGTTTTTTCACATTTTCCAGCCTCCATGGCCATTTTGAAACTGCCCATAGAAGTCAAAAGTGATGGCACATTAGTTTTAACGGCAGAGATAGGCATGACTACGTCCGTTAATATATACAGTCTATGGTTTCAATCTGTAGCACTTTGAGGGTGCTCCGGTTTACCCCTACAACTAAAAACACATACAATGGCCTCTCTCTCTGGGCCAGGACTCCGATGCTTAAGAGATTCTCAGAAAATCTCAGTGGGACTCAATGAATGTAGTCGACCAAGAATTTTTCTGGTCTCTCACCACATTCAAACTGTTGCGTGTATTGGGAAGTGTGGGAAAACCAGAGCACCTGAAGGAAACCCACCCAGACTCAGGACAAACATGCAAACTCCACACAGAAAAGCAGACACAGGATTGAAACCACAGCCTTCTCATGTGTTGAAGAAAAAAACATTTAAACATGTAAAAGTACAAGATATGTTTGTGTAATCCTAGAACTGTAGCCCGATAAGATAAACTGTATTGATCTCGCAGTGGGGGAATGTAGCATTTTAGTAAATCACATTAACATGTCTAGTGGTTGTAACTTTGGCCTGACAAAACCACTCGTTGTTTCTCTCACGTTGAGTCACTATTTGTTAATCATCTGAAATCAAGAGTTCCCTTCAGTGTTAGCAGTTTGTCATCATGGGGAAAGGATATTTTTTATGTGAAGGAAACGGATCTTACCAATCAGACCTCAGAGTTTGCCCAGTGTGAACTTATGAAATTGAGACTTTTATTTCATTGTCATTTTTAATCATGCGAGATTGACACTGAGCAAGACATATCTAATAACTGTGTGCCAGATTTTCCATTTTCTCTCCGTCCTCCAGGCAACCATTTGTAATCACAGGAAAAGGAAAATCAGGCTGAAAGCTTTTGGGCTAGTGTTTTGGTGAATTATGCAAACGTTTCAGTTGTCCTTCTACATGCCGTACACATGCCAGTACTCATTCACCACTTTTTTGACACTAAATTGGTGTTGTTTAGCTACTAAAACGTGATGGAGTCAAAATAATATGGACATTTCTCCATTGTGAGATCAATATAGTTTGTCTTATCTCTTAATAAGTCCATCAACTCTGCTCTGACCACTCTCCCCAAATTAAAATACACATATTAGTGTTAGTAATTACAGTAAATGTTCCTCAAAACTATCACATTGTTGTAATCAAGTGTTTTTATCTTAATTTGAGTACATACTGAGCAAGGCGACATAGCCATTTCGTCTTATTTGAAAACTGTTGCTTTATTTTCTCATTCCAAAAGACACATTTCTTGTATCTTTGTTGTTTTTTTTTTACTTATTTGTCATTAATGTCTGCAGCGTTTGTTGAAAATACAGCAGTTTGGATACAATATTTCACTAGACATTTATTGAAGCCAGTCTCTCACTTTACTTTTCTTTGTCTCTTTGCTCTTTCAGCCAACGGAGTCCAGTTTAAGACCCTACACTGTGGCGTGGGAGACCCCCTGAACCTGTACGCTGAGCCCACTGTGATCGGGGTGGGGGGGATCATCGGACCTCCACAAGTCCCCGTCCGCCCCATGGCCTACACGCCCTGCTCCAGGTTCAAAGTACAGGGTGAGACTCCGTTCTGGCTTCACTAAAACTTAATGACAGCAGTGGACTGAGGCCTGCGGCAGCACAATGATCTCCTCCATGTTTCTCTCTGGCTGCATTTCAATATCGCTGGATTTATTGCTGTATATCTCTGGTGGAAAACTGAACTTAAATACCGATAATGCACAAATGTCTATGAACAAACCAAGCATACCTCATCCAGGATTGTAATATCTTCAGATCCCATGTCCCATTATTCACACATATACACACATTTCCTATTGACTAACCATACAAGTTGTCTGATAACGAGTCTGTTTTGAGTGTGCAAAACAGACTCAAACTCACAACTTTATTATTGATTTGTATTGCGACTTTGAGCTGAACAATAAAGAGTCAGTATTCAATTTAGCTGTTTACATACAGTATGCCCTCCATCTAATCTGATGTTTTGTAAAGACGAATGGGCAAAACGTTCACTCTCTAGATGTGCAAATATTGTAGAATCATACCCAGAAAAAGAGGTGCCACAAAGTATTACGGTAAGAATGGATTATTGTTCAAGCCCCAATCTTCAGCTTAAAAAAATAAAATAAGAAAACGTGTATAATTGTATATTTTATGATCAGATATGAAGTTTATTTGTACAGCACAGTTCATACGCAAAGTGCTGAACAAAACAAGATAGAAACAATCACACAAAGCATTGAAATCATACATAATCACAGTTCATAAAAATAAAGGTGAGATACAATTCTTCAGTTGAATGCACAGATAAACAGACCTGGATTTGAACATCGTCAGAGAAGAAGCTGGTCTCACATTTTAAGGAAGACTGCTCCAGATTTTAGCTCCATAAATATGAAATGCCTGAGACACGGCTGTTCTACTTGCCGAGTTTTTCACATGACTTTTCAATGGACCTTTTCTCAGTTCTTCACCCATGTATAACGAGAAAAAAAACGTTGTCTTGTCTTTAGATGATCCCCGGTCGACGCTGGAGAAGCTGGTGGACGGGCGCGCGGTGGAGCAGACGGAGATGAGCACGTTTCACCCGGAGTCACCGCGGTTCCTCACCGGGACGACCCGCAGGGGGGTGGTAGTCTGCAGCGTGGCCCCAAACCTGCCTCCCGTCTCCCCCTGCCGCTCCGACTGCGACTCCCTGCGCAAGAGCCCCTGGGACAGCGACGAGGGTGAGGCTCCGTCATCAACATAAAACCAAAAACTTTGCATATGAATAATGTAAAAATACTTCACATTTTCACAGATGGTTTTATAAGCATTTGATAATAAAACACAGCTAACTTAATTGCTCCAAATTAAGTAAATTGATTTTTCTTTTCTTCATTTCTGTTATTTGTTTTAGTAGTCTTGTATCTCCTGTAGCAGTGGTCTCCAACCTGTGGCTCAGGAGCAGTATAAGTATAGAGATTTACAGTATTATTGTATATTTATGCGTTCTCTCGGTTATGTCGTAATTATTGCATAGATTTTTTATTACGACTGCAAAAAGGAGTAGCTCTCTGCCTCTTTTGTTGCTTAAAAGTAGCTCTCCGATTGAAAAAGGTTGGAGACCCCTGTCCTATAGAGTTTCAGGGCTCCACCTTTTGTCTGATTCACATAAAATATTAGCGTTTTAGAAGAATTAGATTAGAAGTACATTATTTTGTATCCAATTTCCAGGGATTTTTAATGTTTTTTCCCCTCACATCATTACCGAACTTTCTCAAATCAAAGGCATTTTTTGTTGTTCAAGCTTTTGTTTGATGATGTGTTTGTCCAATTATTTTCTCCACACAGCAATATTTTCACCTCCTGTTTGCAACTTTTACAACGTGGCCTTTCTGGACAGTGTCGGCCGCTTTGAACCAGGGATGTCTAAAGTTTGGCTTTGTGGGCCCGATGCGACCAATTTGTCTTAACCCTCAGGCTGCTTGTTTGGCTCACATTACTTCTTACTGAAAGTTTGAAAATTCACCACCACCTCATCAAAATCAAAAGATCTTCTTGTAAACAGTCCCAATGGTGAAAACTGTATAAAACTGTAGACAAGAAACAATACATTCATTACATTAGATACATGGATTTGGACAAAGGCAACGTTTTTGGAAAGTTTCACTGATCAAAGCAATGTATTTTTTGTACAGCCCAAAATAACATCTGTGTCATTAGTAAGAAAGAAAGTAATATTTATACAGACCAAGCACTTTACATTGTTGTGAGTTCATGTATATTTTTCCATTCACTCCAATTTTATTTTAATCTTTATACCTTATAAGTGTATGGTGATTTTTATTTTGCCTCCCTCTATTCTTTACCTCTCTTCTTTGACTGTTGGACTGAGCCAAAGCAATTTCCTAGTTTGTGACTTCCTGTTACTTACATAAAAATGATTCTGATTCTGATAAACGGTGATAACGGAAGCGAGACGACGAACGCACTGCCGCATTAAAGCCCCCAAACCAACACCATCCATTCACTCGCTCAAATACATTTACAACATTGTTGATTGACCAATAGCACTTTAGTAAAAAGAGAAACCTCACAGAGAACCACAGTAGAGGAGAGATGAGTCCATTTGCAGCATTTACCGCCTCAGCTTCCAGGGAGTCCTGCCGAGTCAGAGCCAGAATTCGGCACAATTTTGTTTCCCGTAAAGTGATTTGCAGTTTTCATCATTATTTAGAGCACTGTTAGTTCTGGCGAAACATTTTGTGGTCACTCTGTAGGACACAAACCATTCAGAGATGCTGCTCAATGTGTAAGAATAGTCTAAAACAGACCTGGGAAAAGTACGGCCCGGGTGCCACGTACGGCCCGAATCCACGTATAAGGGGTCCGTCTCCCCTTATAGAAATTAATGGGAATGAATACCCAATGAAAGTTTGCAACTTCCTGAGTGCTACGATGGCCTGTTATACCTCATCATAATTCATCAAAAATATGAATCTATCCACAACTCTTTCTTTAGCTTTAGTCCAGCTGTGTCCGAGAAAGAATTGAAATCTAAACGTACACTAAAACAATATAAAATGTACTCAAAGTAGATGAAAAATTATGAGCCATCATAGTTTACACAAAGATAAAATTGCATATAAACAGATCACTTTTCACATTGTTATATCGTTTTGTTCACTGCACGCAGCACACACGTTTGCAGCTGCGGGAGATCAGCTGAAGGCCGCCAGGTCATCAGCGAACATCCAGTGATTAATGACGGTATCTCCGGCCACACGCAGTTCTACTCCAGTACATTTTTCAGTTGTCGAGGTCATTTGTGTAAAAATTAATTAGATTTGGAGACGGGCAAACCCCATCCTCTCTCCCAGAGTTTGTTGGATATACCATAGATGTAACCCTCAGACTCCCAGAATTCTGAAATTAGAGCAGTCATTGTGATGGCTTCCTTTCATCCAATAGAAATCTGAAAAAATCCCAAAAAAGTTTCTCACTACTTTTATTAACTAATTGACTGCCAGCCGTTTTTGATGATTTCACTAATTCTCAAGTCCCACAAAATATTATTTCCTAAGACCATGTGAAATATGAAACCAAATTCTGAAAGACTGGATTTTCAAAAGTTAATACTGGCTAAAATGGTTCACTATACATTGGAATGCAGCAGAAACTGTATGTTGAAATGCCGCTAAATGCTAACTGCTGCAAGTAAACAGTGTGTTGCTATGGTAGCTAGCACTTGCTTCGAGCTGAACCAGTCCAGAACCAGCACCTCAGAGACTTTAGAGGCTATATCTGGCATGGAATGTTAAAACGAAGCAACCAAAAATGACTTCACAAAGTTTATGAAGACCAAACATTTACACAAGCCTGAGTAATTACACTTCCACAACTAACAGCCGTCTAATTGACTGCTCTGGGAGTTCTAGTGTTAAAAGCATCTGGCCCAGTCTTGGCTTAGTCTATACAAACATATGATCATCTTTTACATAATTGATGCTGAGGCCTAATGAGGTGTATTGGCACTGACAGCATCACGACACAGATCATGGCAGCGACAGCAATCTCTCCTTGACCCAATAACTAATTAGTGGATAATTAGTGCTTAATCAGTGGTCTCTTTGCCCCTCAGGTAAAATGGTGGACCTGGGTGAAGAGGTCACGTGTTTCTCTGGCAGCAACAAAGGCAGTAACTCTGAGGTCCATTCTCTCAGCTCCTTCCAGTCGGACTCCTGCGATGACAATGGTAAGACCGGTCTAAATGTTATCTAATGCTAAAACATATTATAATGTCAATAACTCATGTTTTATATAATACGTGCTTTTGACAATCATCTCCGGACATCACATTCCGGTCACGAGTTTGTGGCTTCTTTTTGATGTATGTTGGTGTGAAAATGGTTGGTGAAAAAAAACTATTTGGACAGAGATTTAGGAGATTGGCAGAGCAGACTTTTGGCAATATCCACGCAACGAGATGGAGAAAGGTTTGCCAATAGTAATAAGTAATTGATAACATAAAAGCAGTAGCAGTGTGATCCATCATTCTTTAAGGCATCACCAGGACTCATTATGTGGGGGTAACCAGAATATCATGAATAAATATGTATCCCCATGACAGTAATCATAATGTGTCCAAACGTTTTAGCAATTGTTATGTTAGCAATAGCTCGTTTAAGCAGGAATGTAGAGCTAAATGTATGCAAATGTATGTAAGCGTTAGCAAGCACCAATAAGAAGCAACGCCGGTCTGTCCCCACTTGCGCTACTCGCTAGCTAAATCTGAATAGAGCGACAGAAGGCTTCTGATTGGTCGGTTGTCGGAGCTCATATATGGATTGACAAAGACAATATCTCAATATGAACACCAGGATCGCAGAAAGCGCATTACCAAAATGGTGTGACACAAACGGATAGAAAGAGGAGTTTACTTTTCAAAGCAAAGAGCAAAACTTTGTCCATGAACACTTCCTTATTGAGATTCATTCAACTAGGGCAGGCATGTCCAAACTCAGGCCCGGGGACCAATGGCGGCCCTCAGTGTCATTTTATGTGGACCACTACTTTGCTAACCCAAAGTTGTCTTTGATATCATAAACACAAGTTCACTGTGTCATCCATCCAACTTCAGCTCAGCCAAAATAGACATGTCATGACTCGTTCTAGAGCCCAGTACGTCTGGAATTCAGTCATTGACTTTATTTATACATATTGTACTGACATGTTTTTTGATCTTGTCAACAACAAAGTAACAGTTAATGGTGCTACTATAGCTGGTGAGATGGTAAACATTAATCATTTAGCCAACTTCAGCTCTGTTATTGATTATTTTAAAGCTCAGAAGAGCCTGATGCCAGTTGAGAAATGTTTCAGTCTGTGATGTCGGCCCCTGGACTAGTCTGGTGAACTAATGTGGCCCTCTTACTAAAATGTTTGGACACCGGTGAGCTCGGGGGTTAGCATAGTCCATCTATATACAGGCCCCTAACACACACACATTGATGTAGCTGCTCTGCCAACCGGTCCCAATTTACATTATTTAAGCTACACAAAAACCCCTATTAGCCCATTTCTCGCACAGATAAATGTATCTTAAAAGTACAATCATTCACCAACCTCCCCCCGGCTCCTGCAGCAGTGGTTATTGTCTCCGTGTGTGGTCTCTGCTGTTGTTGCTTTGTGCGTCTTTGTCTCATGTTAATTTGATTTGCTGATTCATTCCTTTGCCTTCGCAGCGGCTCATTGTGCTCGTATTGTGTCCAGTTTATCATCAGACGAGATAATTGACGAAACAATGGTTTAATTGTGCCTAGCGAACACCGCTCTGTTCCATTCGCTGCTTCTTTTTTGCCGAATCGCACAATGTCATGTCTTATTTTTTGCGTTTGTTTTCGTCAAAAGGCTGCTGTTGTGACTGTGACAAGGCTGTAGGCAACAGATCCACCTGCAATGACACTCAAGATTCAATTATGGTCAATTTGGGCTGATTTTTACCATTTGATTTGGCGTTGTTTTACTTCAAAAACCTAGATATTGTGAAGTAAATGAAGTAAATGAGTAAAACATAGAAAGAAAGGGCATTATTTGTTGTTAAAGTTTGCAATTTGAATGCAGTAAGCTAAATCTAATTTTACATTGTTGTCGTCCAATTCAATTGAGATAAATTTATTTTATATCCCTAAATCACAGCACTAACTGTCTCTGAGGAGTTGCCGATTTGCCAACACTGATCCGAGAATCAAAAAGAAAAATAAAACATAAAAAAATAAAAACATACAAATCTCAAAAACGATGTAATGGGAATTTGAAAGGAGAATGACAGATGTTGAAGAAGAAAATTATTATTATATAGATATTATACTTCACGGTATAATACCTTGAAGTACATACATTTCTTCTTCATTCTAGTAGATTTGAAAATTAGGAAATAAAAAGACATATAAGGTCATGTTTTAAAGCGACTTTTCTCCCGACAGAAATTCAACATCTGTCAGTCTCATTTCTCATTACACGGTTTTTGTGATTTGTACGGTTTTTACTTTGTATTTCCTGTGTTTGAACTTTTTTTTGATAATAACTGCCGCTGTTTAGGTATAGCAGTAAAAGTCTAATGCCTACAGCCTTGAAATGTATTAAAATCACCATCACTTTTTGCCTATTGTTTTTATTTGCTAACATTTTTTATTTCTATTCCCCCCACACCCGAACGCCTCACAGGATTCAGAAGTGGGACCGGTCTTGGAATTTTTAGTTAGAATTATTATTATTTATGATTTTTTTTTTCTTGGTTGATTCTCTGACGCTGCTGTATGTATCTCTCCCCACAAGCCTCCATAGTGACCGTCATACGATTGGTCAATGACGCAGTGGACACAATCGAGAGTGAAGGTACCATGTCTCCCCTGTGTCCCATCTCTGCTGAGCCTCACTCCTGATACTTCTGCACAGAGTTCCCACCTCCTTCCTAAAACCTCCCGGAAAATCAAAGCAATCTATATTTTTACAGCCAGAAATGAGTACAACAGTCAAACCAACTCTAGAATATTATTGCTAGATATATAGACAGATACTGTAGATAGATAGATATATAGATAGATATAAAGATAGATAGATAGGGAAATAGATAGATAGAAAACAAAATAAATACATACATGATTCTAAAAGTAGCTAACAATAGTAATAAAATGCACTTTACTTATTACTATTTTTTGTCCTTCAGAAGCTCCTTCTTCGATAAGGGAATAAAAACTTTAAAAAAACAGTGGGGAAAAGAGAAAGCACAAGGAGAACTATCGTGAATCAGAATTGTTTTTATTGACATTGTGAGTAACAGGAAGTCACAAACTAGGAAATGTATTTGGCTCTCGGTGAAAACTAGTTATGGGCTCGGGGGATTATCGCGGATCTGCCGCCTAAACAAGACTGAATTCACGTGGGCTACCCAGAAATTTTCCCCATAGAACTCAATGTAAACTAAAACAGCTCGACCTCTGACAGCTGACAGAGAACCTACAGCTTTCATAAACGTCGGGTTTTGTGGGGATTTTAGTGTTCCTTGTCATCCTGAACTTTTTTTCTTCTTAAATCCTTAGTTTTTTTTTCTAATCCAGTCTTTACTGTCACAAACTCTGCCCGTCTGGCTCCCGCTCTAACTCCCGCTCTGATGATTGGTCAGAGCGCGGCCGAGCCCCTCTGTGCACGTGCGTGAGACCCCATGTGAGACCCACACACGCATATTTGGCGCAGCGCATCATGGGAGATAATCCATTGCACAGAACCGGGAGGACCAGACGATGCCCAAATACAGGCGAGTTCCGCTAATATGTCAGCGACCGTGCCAGCACAAAGCGCCGCTGAGCACAACTATTCATTTGAATACGGCGCCATCTTGGATCGCCGGGGCTTGGTCTTAACATACCTCTTGAATGATATTCTATGAGTTTTACCTGAGCAAGACTCCGTTAATATCATATCACGTAAGCAATAATAAAAGTCTCCTCACTTTTCCATGTGCGACTGGTGAAAAGTCTGAGGAAATGTGTAGCTAGTTTGAGAATAAGGTATGAATTGTTGTAAATAATAATAATAACTGAAAATCTCAAAGTACAAATAGTAAGGTTTACAGACATTACAATGGGTTAGGAAATCATTCACTATTATGAAATAGAATATAATCATTTATGTACTTGTTGCATATTTGCGTATTTAAATTTGAGCATGTAAATAGCGAAGAGATGTGTTGTCTAGCAGAAGCAATATAGTCGTGTTTTTTATTATGATGCCAATTTACATGAAAAAGTAACAAGGTACAATATTCATATAAGTTATCCTTCTGTTTATTGTGCTTCCCTGGAGTCAAAATTACCCGCCAGTAGAAGAAAAATACCTCAGATTAGGGTGTAAACGACGCAGGCCTGGTTAAGTTTTAGAACATTGATCAAAATCCTCTCGGAAAAGAAATATTTAGGGTATTTCTGAATCACGGGTCAGTTTCAGAACAAGGGTTACATTTTCTCACATGAACTAACACACAATACTTTGAATAAACAGCTGTATGATGGACGTCAAACGAGCTCAGACATGGTTAACGCCCGACAAAGGAATAATCTAGCCTGGTCCCTTCACTGCAGCTTAGTGCATTGTGTCACTTACTATTCTTTCTAATAGAGTCCTCATTCAGCTCTATCATTCCTCTGAAAGTAATTAGCCGTCGTTTAGTGGAACGGTGGGAACTCTGCTGCACTCGCCTCCATCTCTCTTCCTTTCACTGAACCTCAAATGATCTCACAAAACTTCTTGGGGGGGGAAATTGAGCAAGGGTTTTGGCTGTCGAAGTCACGTTTTTCCAGAGTTCAGACAAAGCTTGTTATTCCGCAGCAGTTCCACTCGGGCTAAAAATACTTCCTCTGAGCTATATTTAAACCAGCATGCTCCTGCGACACGTGCGGCGCTCGGATGGACAGGAAGCCCAGCCCCGCCGCAGTTAGACACTCCCGCGTGGAGGGAAAAAAAGGAAAAAGGGAAAGTGGTTCTCAGGCTTTGGGAGCGAGCGAGAGGAGGATCCAGAGTCAGCCTCACATTTCACATGTTTGTCTGAATGAGAGAAAGAGAGAGGCTTCGCTGGAATGCAATATGAATGAAAAGCTTTGATAGATTCAGTGCTGAGCTGTGTGTGTTCATTCACTCCCAGAGAATTATAACAAACATTCTAAAACAATATTGATAATCTGAGATGTTAAAGGGACCACATGTGCGATTTTACAACCCTAAACATTGACCTGTTTTTTGTGTATGAATCAAATTTGACCTTTTTAAAAATAAATTGATGATGTCCATAATATTTATGTTAAGAATTTGCAAGCAGATTGTCCAATCAGAGAGCAGAATGAGACTCTTATTTGGGTTGCCAGTTTTATTAGGTGAAATTTATCGAAACAATTTTAGCCATTGTTTAGATATGTATTTAGCAAAATGCATGAACCAAAATAGTTCACATTTATAGGATAGGATTTACTAAAATAGGTAGTCATATGTAATACAGAAAGTTTGAACTGTTTCTAGCTCAACTCATGTGCGGCAGGCAGTGATATTTTGGCAACAATGATTGGATTTCAATAGTGATTACTCTATTAGACAACTAAGAGTGCATTTTACATACTGTCCCTTTAACTATATCTATAAAGGCTCAAAAACACAAATAGAGTGAAATTGTGATATCGCAATGTCAAGAGTCCTATTTTAAATTAGCGGCCTTCAGTTATTCCATTTCAACATGTGTTTGGCTAACCTATAAAATGTTGATTAATAGAAATACCTGTGGTTTTCACTAAATTATTAATCTGCAGCTCTACCCAATATTTCAGACTTTTCAGCCTCAACAGGAAAGCATATAACTTAAATGTTACCTGATGGTATACCAGTTATGCATGGTCTCCGATCAAGACAATATAGATCTAATATCGTTTCCTATTCATTCCTAGTCAAAGATGTATCTAGTTTTGATTCATATCCAGGCATAGGCGGTGGCATCAGTTTTGTAAATACTGACCAAATGCTTTAGGGCAATTGAGAAAATACACATTTATCGAACAAACTAGAGCAGTGAAATACAGTAAATCAGATTGGATTAGTGAAGCAAGGAGAACTCTGGGTAATTTTCAACCAACTAAAACATTTGAAATTGTCTGGAGAAGATCACGACGACCTTCAACCAAAGTCCAACGTGACCCACTTGTGTTTTGTGTCTGTTATTCTTTGATCTCTCACAGAATTTTTTTTTTCTTTTCAGCCTTTTCCGTGCGTTTATTTTCCCCGTACGTTTGTAGAGAGCAGGGAGTAGGTGCTTTCGAGCCTTTAGCTAATCTGCTTTTGTGTTGTTTTTTCTTTACTGGTGCAGTGTCCGTCATGGACCATGGTCAAAGCTACAACAGAGGTGACGACAACAGCCCGAACCATCAAAACGTTCTGATTCCACTCTGTCCATTCTGTCTCCATACATCCTCCGTCTCTCTCTCTCTCATTTCTCTTTCTGTACATTCTGTGTCTGGACCAAATGGACTCCAGCAAAGCCTCCGATCAGACCTGGGATTCTTATTTCTCTTCAAAAGTTACACAAACTTCAAAACTATTGCAACTTTATGACTTGCTGTTACTAACATGAAATTGAATGCATTAATATTAGATTCGCAAATTAGAGAAGGGTTTTCGACATGACGAAATATGTGTGTTCCGTTCAAAAAAACAAAAAACGACTGCAACTTTTCAGGGTGAAGTTTGAAGTCTGAACTTTGAGTATTTCAAAGACTCCTTCATCGATATAAGACTTACAGGAGTTAGAGATTATTGACCCAAGAATATTAAGTAGACAAACTTTATTTACCCAAGGAATAAGAAGTAGAGAAATGCAGTGCACAGATGTGAATTGGAACAATGTTTAATATTTTACGATAAAAAAATAAGTTTGAAATCAGACGTTACAAACACTGATTTTTACTTTTTCAACAACAAAAAATAAATACAATTCCTCAGAATCTGTGGATCAAGGTTGATTTGGTAACTTTACTATAATTAATTAGCTGATGGTTTTTAGGTCCAAAAGGTCAGTGAATATTCAATTATTTTTATACATTTGATCCAGTATTTGTAATAAAGCATAATTTCAACATAATATTACACTTTTTATGATATATTTTGCTATTCATTATGCGTGCATAGGATATCAGCACAATTAAAATACAGCTTGACGTCAGGATTGAGTGACAAAAAGCCCAGTTTTAGTTCTCTTACAAATTGAGAATTTATTTTAGTTGACAATCTCGTGGCAACCACACATATATTTAGCTTACCTTGTGACAGTGGCTCTACAGTGGGGACAGGGCTTTTGTTACCACCCATAAATAACACTGTGAAATCCAGCACATTGACAATTCCTGGTTTAGTCCCTCGATCCGTTTAGTTAATTTGGTCCGAAAATGTCCCCTTCACTTCAGATGTTATTGCATTATTATTATTGCGTTCGTCCGTAGTCGCAGCTTGAAAAAAGCTGAGTATGTAATATTGCCTAATACATCTTATTATCATTGGCCTGTTCTTTGTTCTGATTTATTGTAGCAGCAAAAATTCAATTGCAACCGTGTTTAATTCATTTAGTTTACTCATTGGGCCGAGGACATGGGCGGAGGGCAATGATTTTCACGTCTGAACAGATATTAAGGCGTCGCCAGTGATAAATGTTTCCATTAGAAACAAAAGGGGAGACAAATGAGACAAAGAGAGAAGTCTTGCCTTCAGCGCACACAAAGTCCATCTGTATTACCCAGGCCAGGAGCGACGGTGTCAGCCCCGTGCGACACATGCAAAGTGGATCCTTAAAATAGAAGTCGCTAAAACAGATGTGGCAAAGACGACGACAGAACTTTTAACTCAGATCATTCAAAAATAGTGATAGTTCAAATATTTCAGAGGAAGATTTCCGATCCATAGAACGATGCTTTGTCGTTCACTGCAGAATATACGGCTTCGTTTCCTATACTTATTTTCGGCGGAGTCTATTTATACATTTTCTATTCTAAGCATCTCTGAATATTTCATGTGTCTTGATTTTAAGCGTTCATACTTGTCATGACCCAGCTCTGCGAGGGTGAGCGAGGTAACAGAACCCAACTGTGAAAGCGTAAAGTAAAAGAAGTAATAAAAAAAAACAGGGAGTGGAAAAAGAGACAGATAAACGGTATGCAAACTTGTAAAAGCATACAATAAACAAAGGGGTGCAAAACAGTAACAAAGTTGCATTACAAAGTACATCGACAGAACAAAGATATCGAAATACCTGCATGTGTTTAGGCGGATAGGGTTAGGGTTTGAGGGGGTTAGAGGGTTAGACTAAGGGCAAGGGTGAGAATTGGGACGGGGCCTAAGATATTGTTTATTCGTCCCACACTGGGGAAATGTCAGTGTTTTAAATGAAATAAAATATGATCTCTAACTCTAGCATAAAAAGAAGCAGTATAAAAACGGCTTTCTTTAGCATAGTATGGAAAAAAAAATCTCCAACTTTAGCAGGATAAAGAAGCAAGAATTAAGGACAAAAACCCCTAATTCTAAGGATAGGGTTTGAGGGGGTTTCAGGCTTAGTGACAAAACAAAAAGACCATATAAGAGGAGTGGGCTAACCGAGTTGAAGAAGCAGATGAGACTGACAGTTACTGAGCTAGAGGAGTTTACTCTTCAATGTAAGTCAATAGGTGCCAGAGCGAGTAGGAGCAACGTTTTGTCCATGAGCACTTCCCTATCGGGCTTCCTTCAGATTGCGGGTGGTCCATCTCTAAACAGTGTGGAGTGTGGTCTTAAATTAGCTGTCCAGGTGCAAGCGCAGGATTAGCCAGGTGTAGAGCCGCTCCACCAATCAGAGCGAGAAGCAGCAGCATTCCAGGAAGTAAGGTCAATGAAAAAGACAAGTACATCTAGTTCCACAAACACTAAATATATTGTGTTTTCTTTCATTAAAAGATCCTTTATTTGTCCCTCTGTGGAGAAATTTCAGTTTTACATCACTAGTTACAGAACAGCAGGATGAATAATAACTTTAAAAAATATATAATCTCTAACTCTATAGGATAAAAAGAAGCAGTATAAAAACCGCTCTCGTTAGGAAAGGAAAATTGCCAACTTTAGCATGATGAAGAAGCAAGAATTAATAAAAAAAAAAAAAAAAAAAAACAGTTTCAGAAAATAAATAGATTAATAGACTAAAAGTAGGAAAAGAGGGAAACAGAGGGGGAGCGATGCAGCCGGCTCCCACCTGTGCATGCATACACAAACAGTAATAATAATAATAATTGTATTTGTTCTATTGCCGTCTGAATAATACATAAAAAATGAATAAATACATAATAATGATACTCCATCCATCCATTTTCTTCCGCTTTATCCGTTGCCGGGTCGCGGGGGCAGCAGTCTAAGCAGAGACGCCCAGACTTCCCTATCCACACACACCTCCTCCAGCTCGTCCGGGGGGACCCCAAGGCGTTCCCAGGCCAGCTGAGAGACATAGTCTCTCCAGCGTGTCCTGGGTCTTCCGCGGGGCCAACTCCCGGTGGGACGTGCCCGGAACACCTCCCCAGGGAGGCGTCCAGGAGGCATCCGGAACAGATGCCCGAGCCACCTCAACTGGTTCCTCTCGACGTGGAGAAGCAGCGGCTCTACTCCGAGCTCCTCCCGTGTGACTGAGCTCCTCACCCTATCTCTAAGGGAGCGCCCAGCCACTCTGCGGAGGAAGCTCATTTCGACCGCTTGTATCCGCGATCTCGTTCTTTCGGTCATTACCCAAAGCTCATGACCATAGGTGAGGGAGGGAACGAAGATTGACCGGTAAATCGAGAGCTTTGCCTTTCGGCTCAGCTCCCTCTTTACCACAACGGTCCGATACAGCGACCGCATAACTGCGCACGCTGCACCGATCCGCCTGTCAATCTCACGCTCCATTCTTCCCTCACTCGTGAACAAGACCCCGAGATACTTGAACTCCTCCACTTGAGGAAGGACCTCTCCACCCACCTGCAGAGGGCAAGGCACCTTTTTCCGGTCGAGCACCATGGCCTCGGATTTGGAGGTGCTGATTCTCATCCCAGCCGCTTCCCACTCGGCTGCAAACCGCCCCAGTGCATGCTGCAGGTCCTGGTTCGTTGGAGCCAACAGGACAACATCGTCCGCAAACAGCAGAGATGAAATCCTGTGGTCCCCGAACCGGACCCCCTCCGACCCCTGGCTGCGATAATAATGATACTAAATCGTAATATTGTTTAATGATTGAAGCTTATGGTCTGAATCTGAATCTCTTGTTCGGACAGTTCACTTCGGTCCAGCCTCTCTCCTCCTTCTGTCCGCTCGCTCTCATCTTCCATCTGTCTGTGTCCAAAGACGTCCCACAGCCTCATGGCCCTGTGTCCTGCCTGCGCCCGTCCCACGTCCCCAGCATATGGGGCGGCCTCATGTCGTCCCCTTGTTTTTGCTTCAGCGCATGGACATTTTATTTTTTGAGTTTGGCTCGATTCGCGATTGTTTTGCTCTCACTCTCGGCTTGTTTTTGTGATGTGTTAAAGTGACATGTGTGTGAAGTCGAAACTGGACGGCCTTTCATGTTTGCTCATTTTAAACCAATCAGCAAGACACAGGCAAGTTTTAGGGGCGGCACGGTGGCTGAGTGGATAGCACTCTCGCCTCTCAGCAAGAAGGTCCTGGGTTCGAATCCCGGTTGGACCAGGGCCTTTCTGAGTGGAGTTTGCATGTTCTCCCCGTGTCTGCGTAGGTTTCCTCCGGGTGCTCCGGTTTCCCCTACCACTAAAAATATGTACAATAGGTCTGGCATGTGCCTCCTGTACTGGCGACCCCCACTCCCAAAAATCACAATTGTAAACCGCTTTGAGACTCCGATGTGCAGTGAAAAGGCGGTATATAAATAAAAATTACTACTACTACTACTACTTAAGGCAACCGTTCATTCATCATTGAACTACAACAATTTGCTTGGACGGATTTATTTATTAGTAGTTCTGATAAGTCACTCAAAAACGCATTGAAAAAATGTATTATTACTTTGAAAGGGCTCACCTCCTCATAGATCTGATTAGTAATTAGCTTCTAGCCAGTGAAAATTCCATATCAACAATAGTAGCAGCTGATCTATACCACAAGCCAACAAAATGTAACTATTTTTTGTATTATTTAGAGAAGAGTTATGCCACTATATATCCACATACATCACAGTTCAATCAATCAATCAATCATTCAGTCATTTAGTTGTATGGCACAATTCGTGTACAAGGCAATTCAAAGTGCTTCACAAGAGAAATTTCAAAACACAATAAATATACAATTATTTCATATTAAAATTGAGATCCCAGATGAGCATTTTCAATTGATTAAATAAAGGAAGCCTAAAGTTGATTTTTGTTGTTATTATTGTTATAGTAGCTAGTGCACCAGGACAAATATTGGATATATTATGAGCTGGGGCAAGGCAGGGCAAAAAAAATATACCATCCCAACTTTTATCCATACTGATGAGCTATAATTATATAGTAGATCAGCGGCCATCACCTATTTTTAATTTCAAATCCAAACCAGGTCGTAAACAAGAAATTTCTGGGCCTGTTTGGGTGCCTTAATTGGGACTGCTCTATTCCTGCAGTAGCTCTAAATGAAGAATGCACCCAAAGGAGGAGAACAATTTCAAATATAATCGCTGTTAAATTGAGCAAATTGAGCTGCAGAGGAATCTACAGAAATTCCAGGGAGCTATCTTTGATAACCTCATTACGGCTGTAGATTCTAGACGAGGCATTTACATCTCCATAGAGGCATTAAATTACGCAGTGAATATGTAAGTTCCAATATAAAAGTTTAAAAGGACAAAGACAGAGCAAAAAAAGTTAGTCGTAAGTATAGTATAAAAGATAAACAACGATGTATGTGTGATTATGGTCCTTCTGGCTTTGGGAAATACGTTTTAAAGAAAATCCTTACACCCACTCACCGCTAACTTTAGTGAGCTAAAGAAGCGGAGGAATCCACTTTGGCGCGAACATGAAAGATCGTCAGCTTGATGCTTTGATGCACAAAATGTCGTGATGTATTTTGAATGTATGAAAAATTGTGTGTTGTGTAAAAACTAATGTTGAACTGAGCATGCTCCTCCCACAGGCTGCAGCTGCATGTGTTACTTCTAACCTCTCACTACAGGATGTGCGCTTGTTTTGGGCCTGTCACAATATAAATGTAGAAGAAAGATATACAGTATTCCAACAAAGATAAGATATATTTACAAATTGACACTATTTTACTCCAAAGAAGGACGATCCCAGAAACCGATGCATTCTTAATTTATATTATCAAAATTAACAAGATAGAAGTTGTAAGTCCTTATTTAGTGGCTGTAATGTTATGAAGGTTATTGCTGTCTATACTTAAAATATTATTATAAGCCATGTTAAATAATAACTGAAATCCCCAATCAGATGAAGAAAATACATAAATATGCACTATACACTGATCCATAAGAAATAAATATTCTTACTTTAAGTCAATAAACTACAAACAAAACAATAATTTTAAAATGATTTCTTGACGTTTTTACCTGTTTAGTTCTATTTTACTAGCTTAAGCATTTATTTATTTATCTTTTTACCAAGGTAGCTGTTCATATATGCAGTAGTGTTACTGTATAATGATGCATGGTAAATTTCAAACTGAATTTTGAAACTAGAAAAAAATTCTTAATATCACAGCGATTACTTATAAAAGCTGATTTTGGACAATAAACTGTATTTTTCTATAAGGGCACAATATTTCCTACAAGTTAATCTCATATAGTTTGAAATGTATCCCATGAAAATCTCAAGAAATTTAGATATTGTGTCCTGCTTTTTAAATATCTAGATTTGCTTAAATTAGTATCTAATTTAATGAATTAACAAATACTTAAACAATTGAATAGAAACAGATTTGTAATACTTTTAATAACCTGGTCATAAATATTTTCAAATATTTTGTCGGATAAAAAAGTAAATCTATAGTGATAGTCCTACTGGGAAGTCACTTACTTGTGTTATCTGTGTCAATGTAAATTTTGTAATTCTGAAAAAACTAACAATGTTCATGGAAGTATAGGTAATGGGGTGTGATGGACTCTCAGGAATTAGAGAAATGAAAAATACCCTAAAACTTGAAATCTGACTTTTGACAGTAGCCAACAAAGATTTCTCAGCTTCCATCTAAAAAGTAATTTCCAGTTTGATGAGATGTGCTGCAGTGTAGTGTAATGTGACAGGCCTTTTGTTATGACCTGAACCACAGCTTGATTGTTGTTTGATCTTAACCCACTCTAATGTTTTCATGTGACTTGCATGACCAACCAGACAGTGCCCATTGTAACGTCTATAGGTCACAACCCAAAGAGCCAATAGTTTAAAAATGGTTGCGTTCGTGTTCAATTCTATTTCCATTGGAGGACAAGTGCCAATACGTCTCTATGGGAAAGATTTTTGGTAAAATGTTGGAAAATAACATGTCCAAATGTTTCTCCACATCTTTATTTGATTGTGATTCAATTTCACAAACCTCAAATTCTGAAAGTCCTCTCTTCTGGAAGACATCATAGATTGTTTTCTTTTTTGAGTATTGTCGGCAGTTCTAGACACTAAGGAAATAATTAGACCATAGTTGATGTTTACTGACAGTAGAGATGCGGTCCTTTGTGGCAGTTACTGTTTCTGTAATCCCTGGACCAATCCCCCTGAAATAAAAACTGTTTTTGACATCTTCTTTGTCAAAAACAGTAATTGCTTGAATCGAGTGGTTTTTGGATTATGAGAATATTCTGACTGTCCTAAAACAAGATTTGCCAATGGGACAAAGCAATTTAGTCTTATTTCCAAGAGACATATTTCTGTATCTTTTTAAAACAAGATCATTTTGCTTTGTCTCATTAGTAAATCTTGTTTTAAGGCAGTCAAAATGTGCTCAAATGGAGATACATTTAGCAAAATTTGAGCAATTTTTTACTTGGTATTTATCACTTTTTGCAGTGAAACTTAAAACATTTTGAAGCAATTTTTCAACCTTTATTCCAACAATCGCTTCTTTTCCATAGAGTGTATTGGCATCTTCTCTCTTGACATAGAATTCTTAAACATCAACGCAACCTGTTCGAAGAGAAAGCAAACTAACGTTCTCTGTCTCTTGCGCAGCGTATCATTGGGACACCTCAGACTGGATGCCCAACGCTCGGCTCTCGGACATCGAAGAGGCTCCAGTGTACGAAGCCATCCCGGCCCACAACGCGTCCAGCTCCTCTCGCGGGAACCCTAGCCCCGCCCCCGGACTGACCACCACCACCTCCTCCTCCTCCCAGCTGACGGGGAGCGCTCGCGAGCTGGAGTCGGACTACTACCTGGGCGGGTACGACATCGACAGCGACTACCCGCCTCCGCAAGAAGAGGACTTGCTGTTCAGCCGGGACCAGCTTCCGGTCCCGCTGCCCAATCAGGTCGCAGAGGACTATCCCGAAAGCTACACGCACATTTCAAACAGCCAACAAGCCAGTTCCAAGGAGAATACCCTCGGGTTTCATCCCAGCCAGTACCTCCCGCCTCACCAGTTGCCGCTTGGGGACGGGACTCCAAGCCAAAGTGAAGATCGCTCCATCGCCGCCTCGTCCACGTCTGATGTCTCCGTTTCGGGCGCCACGGACTCGACCACCTCGGACAGCGTGGAGCGAGGGGTGACGATTACCACCGAGTCGCAGCAGCAAACGGAAGTGTGAAAAGACTGCAAGCGACCGGACAGTGTGGGAGCCAAGTCGACACGGAGAGAAGGAGCTTACCAGAGGAATTGATTGTTTTAATGTTGTGGGATTGTGACAAGGTTGTGTTCGATTCAGGCCAAACATTATGCACTAATAATCTGGAGTGAGTTAAAAATACTTGAAAGACTTACAGGTATATAGGAGAATTTTCGCAAATTTTAGGAAAGAACCGCCGTCTCCACTTTTTGAAAAAACTCTCTGGTCTTGTTTGACGAGCACTTATCACCAGGACGATTGACAATTAGGAGGACCAATAGTCTTGTTGATCCATCCGGAAGTAGAAAATCCTCTTATGTACCTATAACATTAAAACAACTTAAAACCCAGTTGCATTGGCGGATTATTTTAGTTGACTCTAGTCTAATATCCCGAAGTCAAGATAATATGTTTGCAAGTCATTTTAACTCGCATTGATCTAGTTATTGCGCTGAGTCCACTGGGGTATGTTGTCAAAAAAACAAGTTTTGGCACGTTTGCAAATGATCAGTACATGAAAATTGGAAAGATGTCCAAAAATAGACTTAGCACGAAAGTTAACGGGAGCTTATAGTAATAATTGATGACTGTAGAAACCCAGCAACGGATAACACAGAAAATGGATGGATGGATGAATGTAGAATTGTATATTTTGACTTGTGATTGGAATTGGCCACTACAACATAACCACAATCTAAAACGGAAAATTGCAAAATTATAGACCAAAAAAACCAAAACATAATAAAGGACAAAACTGGTGCTACCATATTTGCTATGTTCTTCTAACTAAGTATGTCCGCTCCAAGAACAACAATCGTGTGTTTTTATTCCAAAGTATTTTCCTCTCGTTCGTCATATGCCAGTGGTCTCAGTGTTTAGATGCAAACCAATTGTCACCAACTGTTTGGCTTTTTGCGTTTTTCAAAACAGTTTGTGTGACAGCCATGACAAGAATCATTTGGATTTTGGAAAGTAAGTGAAACCAATAAGAGAGAGATTGTGAAATTTGAAAGTTTGAATGTAAATTGAAGGAAAAAATACGGCTTGGTTCTTCAACATACACTACAATAGTTTTTTGGATATGTACAATTGACTTTTCCGGTATGTAAAAAACCAAGGTATTTTGCTTATAGTACAAGCCAGATTAAGTAGAACGAGTGGAGAATGTGTTTTTAAGAAAGATACAATTCGATTAAATTGATGAGTTTGAAGTGAAGGACAATCAGATTAGATTAGGGCAAGAAATCCCTCTGTTTGCTCCTTCCGTGAATCCTGTCGCACATATTCAAAAGACACAAGCCCACCTCCCTTTTCCCTTGGATTTGTACACTTTATAGCACTCGGAGCTTGTATAGAATGTAAAATAATTATTGTCAAGAAGAGCTCAAGAAATGGCCTCTATTTTTCTTTCGTTTCTTTTTTCTATGTGGAATGTGCTTGCCAAAAACAAAATAATAAATCGTCAGGCCAAAATGTCCAGCCATGAAATTGTGCAAACACGAGCCCATTGTTGTAAGTGAAGTGGAAATTCATCCATCGCTCATCGCAAAATGTTATTGATATTTTTTTCAAGTTTTGTAAGATTTTTTATTCAGTAAAAGCTGTAGCAAAAGGTATTGACATTGCAATAAGGTGCGTGAGTTTGCATTGGTCAGGGTTCGGTTGAGAAAGCATCGAGCGTTACAGAAATTTGTGGGACGTCAAGGAGTCCGGGGAAATCACATTTATGCCTTTTATCAGTTTGTCAATCTGAAAAACGAATGAAATGAATTTTTATCAGCCTGGACCATCGTGAGTCCATTGAAATGCCGTATTACAAGTGGGACAAGTGGGACTCACCATTTTACCTTCTGTGGCACTGGACCATTCAAAAATACACCAGGTTTGAATTATTCAGGTTATTCTTGATGCATTCTGAAAAATATCCAATTCATTTTATTTGCAATTTGCAGTAAAACCACATTGGAATACATGTGCAAAAGTCACATGTGTGCACAAGAAAAAATAATGTAAAAAAAGTGCAGGGAACAATTGATATGTATTGCTTTGTGATTCTCAAATTCTATCATGGAAATTGGCTTACACTGTCCCTACACTGCAAAAAATGTGATAATGTAACTTCTAATAGAGTTTTAGAGTTCTACATTTGAACAAAAGTTGGTATTTTTTGCGTTTTGGATGACGGTTGTGCCTACAGTGCTCCAGGATTGGTTGTTTGCAAAATAATTGATCCTGGGTGCACTAACCGTCATCAAAAGTCACAGCCCCATGATAACCACTCATACAACCACTTGGGTCAAATAACCAAAAATATCAACTTTTTCTATAACAAAAAAAAATGTTGATAACGACTGATAAGCTCCTAGATCCCAAAACTATTCTATCACAAGTTTTTCCTCTGTCATAGCTTTGGATCCGCTTTTTAAGACAGGATATTGACTTTGCGATAATCACTTCCCCTTCAGCCAATCAGCACACAGAGCCGTATTGACTCGCAGGAATCTTTCTGTGTGCAAAAGGGTAGAAATGTTGAAAACAGCACTTTCTGGTTTGATTTTTTTTTTTTTTATTCGCTCCAAAAGTGTTGCCTTCACAAGACTCTTTCTGCGGAGATAAACAAAATGTATTATTCATGAAACAAAGACAATGAGGTCGGCTTCCCCCTGCTCTAGCAAAAGACGTCTGTTGTTTTAAGTACAAAGTTTATTATTTCATCGGGAGCTACGTTTCATCTTGAAATCCAGACATGGCTGAACTCGAGTTAAAATATGTGTAATTCTATTGATATGGATTTACTCATAACAAGAATTATTGCAGTGTAAGCAGTTGGCAAAGATCCCCCATTCTTATTGTTATGAATTTATACAAGAATGAAAGCTGTCTATTAAGCAAAACCAGGACTTGAAATGAAAAAAAAAAGTGACCACAAAGAAAACCCAATGTGAATTCCCCACGTCTCAGCCCCTCCAGCACAGTTTAAATACATTATTATTATTATTTTGTTGAGAATCTTATGAAATGGAGTGTTGAGTGGGCCATGCAGTAACAGCACAGGACTGGGCTCTTCTATATTCTCTGTAAAGTTGTGCGTTGGCATTTGTACAGTGTATATATCTAGGTTGTTCAAATGCAGATTTTGTAGATACTGATCCTGAACTGCCTTTGAGGTTTTGTTGGACTTGTTGTGAATGTGGACATGACCATTCCTCTCTCTCTCTCTCCATCTCTCTGTCTTTCTCTCTCTCTCTCTCTCTATGTCTTTCTCTCTCTCTCACACTGTGTCTCTGTCTCTATCTCAGTCTCTCTCTGTCTCGGTCTTTCTCGGCCTCGGCCTCGGCCTCTCTCTACCTCTGTCTCTGTCTCTCTCCCTCTCTCTCTAACTCTGTCTCTCTCCCTCTCTCTCTAACTCTGTCTCTCTCCCTCTTGGTGTCCCTCTCTCTGTGTCTCTATTAATCTCTCTCTCTCTCTCTCTCCGTCTCTCTCTCCGTCTCTCTCGCCGAGTATTTCTACCGTTTTAGTTTTGCCAAAAATAACGTCATTGAAACCCGATAGTTCTGCACAGTGTGGAGTCCAGCTGTAGTTTATGTTGACAAACCCTATGTTTACAACTGGAATGTTTTGATAAATTTCTAATGTTTTATTTTTTGTATTATTTTAGGCATAATTTCTCTTCAGCAGATGAGTGTAAAATTGTGTCTTTTTTACTTTTGATTTTATTTTTTAATTCAGTGATGAAAATAAACAAATCTTGATCAATTTTGTCGTCTTCAATTGTTACAAAGTCATACTTTTATGGTTTTCAAAATTAACAAGGTTTTTTCTCATTTTTGTTTGGGATGGGTGAGAAATGGGAGGTGAGGAGCTATATTTACAAATATAGTTGGTCCGGTATCTGTTTTTTATAGTTTCTGTTGTGGCAAATTGACAACTTTGTAATGTCTACTGAGATAGAGGAAACTACTGCTGTGAATCAAGGCTACACAAAAATAAAAGGAATTTAATAATAATATAACCGTCTCTAAACACACGGTAATTATGTAAAAAAGCATTTTTCTGTTTTCATGTTTCATGTTCATGTTAATACTAATTTATTGTAATACTTTTGTATACAATAGACATGATGGACACATTAATCCCATTTCAATTAAACCCAATTCAGTGTATTTATGTATAGCCCTAAATCACAACAGCAGCCATCTTGGAAGACTTCACAAAATTGTCAATTCCTCAACAACAGATCGAAAAATCAAACTGTTCGATCACCGGAGACGCAGTAACAAACACTTAGAGGCGGTATGACCAATGTCTATAAATGGTATTAAATGTCTATATGAATGCCATAAGCAGATTATCCAGAGAGAACGCAGAATGAGTCTTTCATTTGCGTTGCCAGTTTCTCTGGGGAAAGATCAAAGTTTTCTTTATCGTCCCACGAGGGGTAGATGGTTTTGCAGTAAACAATCATCTAAAAATAGGCAGCCACAGTAAAATCACAACATTGAAGATGACAACAACAAGAGAGGAAGAGCTGATGTCACCGAGCTAGTTTCAGTGCAAATATGCCGTAAAGTGCAATAGTTTGTATAAAGTGCTATGTGTTGTTAAGGTGCTTCACAGCTGTTGGGATAAATGAAGTTCCCAACCTTTTAGTCCGGCACCCAAGAGCCCTACAGCGTCGTCCCGAGAGTAATGCAAGGCAAGTTTAATTGTATAGCACAGTTTATACACAAGGCAACTCAAAGTGCAAGGTACAAAGAGAACCAGATGGTACGCACAGAGTTCCATTCTGTCTGGTTTGAAAGTTAGGTACCCCAACTTTAAATGTGTTAAAAGACTATTTCATCTGGACCTTTAGCGTTTGTTCCCTGGGTTATTTTAAGGACTAACTTCAGAAGAGCTTATGAAAAAAGCGAGGCCACTTGACTGAACGGACAAATGTCATTGAAAAAATACTTTGAACTTTAGCGAAGGAGAGACGGAGC